ATGAATCAGTTGCCAAGCGTCTGACTTTTGATCACATGACCACGGGGAGGCTGCATCAGTCAGTTTTAAAAACGATCATAAGTCATTTCTTTCAGTGCCATTATAACTTTGAACAGACACTAGAATAACAGAATGAGTTGGAAGGGGCCTTGGAGGTCATCTAGTCCAACCCCTTGCTCAGGCAGGAAACCCTATACCATTTCAGACAAATGGCTATCCAGTCTCTTCTTGAAAACCTCCAGTGTTGGAGCATTCACCGCTTCTGGAGGCAGGTTGTTCCACTGGTTAATTGTTCTCACTGTCAGGAAATTTCTCCTTAGTTCTAGGTTGCTTCTCTCCTTGATACATTTCAATCCGTTGCTTCTTGTCCTGCCTTCAGGCGCCTTGGAGAAGAGGTTGGGACCAGAATTTTCCACCACTAAGCGAGGCAGTCATTAAGTGAATCACCCCCAATTTTACAACTTGTTTTGCTGCAATCACAAAGCAAATTACCACAGGTGCTCACTGAATCTGCTGTCCTTAAGCAAGCATTGCTTGTCAGAAGCCAGTTGGGAGGCAAATGGTGATCGCAAGGCCCCAAGCCACCTGAAGGAAGTCCCATTTTAAACCCTGAAATTGTGATTGTGAAGAATTTAAGGTTGAAATGTTGGGTTTGGGCCCTGTTGAGGTGATCTAAGCTGGTAGGAATTGAACCAAGTTCAGAGACCACCAAGAACCCAATAAAGTTTGAATGTGTCCAATTTTGAATTTGTACGCTTCCATCTGGAGTGGCTTTGATTGACACCTCAGCTCCTCTACCTGGGGTCTTTTGGGGGGAGGGACAGCCTGTCAAAAACATATCTCACAGATTTTGTCCCATCTCGGCCCCTCTTTAATCCTAGTCAATACTCCATAATGCAGAGTCGTTATTGAATTAATGCCTATTGTGCAATTAATTATTTCCCTATCAAGCCCCCTTTTGTCGTTACTGGCTGTGATAATTACACTGCCTCTGATCACCCTCTCAGATTTAATGAGGCTTGATGAGAAGGCTCACCTCATTAGCTCTCATCATTTCTAAATTGCCATCTTATCACACTTGAAAGCTGGGCGTTCAAGTCTTGCTAGACGGGATTCACAAAAAGTATTATTTCCCATTAACGGAAGATTTAAAAACATGATCATCCAGAGATCATCTTACAACCCGAGAATTCTGTTTTTTTTTCCTCTTTCAAAACCTGTCAACTGCCTTGCTAGCAAAAACAAAAAACAAGAGTGGGTGGGATTTCAGTTTTTGCTTAAAAAGGAGGGTTTGATGACATCATGAAGATGTCATCTTGCAAAAAGACTCAAACTGCACAACTGGTGTCATTTGCACAATGACGCACGGGGCCTCAGAAAAGTTTGGATCAGAGGCCTACAGGAACGTTTCTATTTCATTTTACGGGAGAAACCGGACACGGCTGAAAAGGGAAAAGATTTTTGACATCTAAACAAAATCTAGAGCAGTAGGGAAAGATCATTGCGCTGCTCCCATTATATGGTGAGACAAGTGGAATATAAATCTGATAGATAGATAGATAGATAGATAGATAGATAGATAGATAGATAGATAGATAGATAGATAGATAGATAGATAGATAGATAGATAGATAGAGGAGGGAGGGAGGAAGATAGAATAGAGATAGATAGGTAGGTAGGTAGGTAGGTAGGTAGGTAGGTAGGTAGGTAGATAGATAGATAGATAGATAGATAGATAGATAGATAGATAGATAGATAGATAGAGGAGGGAGGGAGGAAGATAGAATAGAGATAGATAGGTAGGTAGGTAGGTAGGTAGGTAGGTAGGTAGATAG